CTTCCTCTCAGTAAAAAATCAATAAAATATATATTTTTTTTAAAAAAAAGAGGACAGGAGCTGCACCTGGGATTGAGGGCATGTGCGGGGACGCAGTGGGAGGGCCCAGCAACCCAGCCAGATCTCATCAGTGTTGCCCGATCCAAGTGTGTCTGCTTAGGCAAACGAAGAATGCAGGTTATAGGAAGGAATTTAGCACAGGTCCCATCTCTAGAGAAGTGAGTCTCTGGTTACATCTAGTTACCCCTCATGTTCTTGCCCAGTTAGTGTCCTCCTCGGAACAGGGATACCTGTAGACGGCCACCTGCGTGGGGCTCACCATCACATACGACATGATACTGTTACCGCAGGCTCACCTCTGTGGTTGCCAAACCTCAGAGCACCTGAGCTCCACTTAGGAAGCGTGCTGCTCAAAGGCAGCTGCTTGGGCCCACTCCCCAGAGATCCTGGAAGAGTGGCTCTAGAATGGGGCCTAAAAATCTGAAATTTAATCAGCACCCCTTCGACTTGTGTGCAGGGGTCCTGGGAACTGGACTTCTAGGAATGGTGTTTTATTTGTATGCCAAATCCACTATGCCTCTGGGACACACAATATGTGTTTTATCTCTGTGTCACAGTGCCCAGATCAGGGCCTGCCGAAGAATTACTGGTCAGGGAATGATGGCTGAACAATAAATATTTGGAGATGGGACTAGGACAAGGAAGGTTCCAGAAGTATCTGGGCAGCATCACAGGAGACTTCCTTTCAGCTGAGCAGGTCCAAGAAGGGCCCTGCAGTGTCAGGATGACACTCCCCGGCCACATCCCAGGAGTAAACAGGATCCCCAGAATCACACTCCCAGGGACACACAGTGACATCAGGGGTGTCCCGGCGTCCCTGTGGGAGGGGTAAACAGGAAGAGATGTAGGAACACTGGTGGCTTCACCTGGGGCGTGGCTTGAGAGCCAGACACTGAGCACTGTGTCAAAGGGAAAAGCTCCACGCTGGGTCAGACCTCTCTGAGCCCTGGACAGGACAGAACACACACATGGGCTGACTGTCACTGACCAGTCACGTGGACAGTGCGCTGGGGAATTCAGAACAGCCTCCTCCCTCCCAAGCAGGGCGGCTGAAGCATGGGAGGCCGACCCTGGCTGCACTTGCAATGGGTCTAGGTCACGAGCAACACTCTCCAGACCAACGAGTGTGCTCAGCATGTTTATAAGACTCTTCTGCTATGTCAACAGGCTCTGAGGATGAGAGCAGCTGGGCGTGATCAAACTCCAACCGCCTATCAGTGAATCCCCTGGATGAGACATGAGAACCAAGAAGCTGATTAAACAGTCAGCGCAACCCTCTGGCAGGGCATGTGCAGAGGGGTGAGGTCACTGGGTGGGGAAGCAGCAAGGAGGCCAAGACTCCTGGTCACAAAGAATCTGCATTCTGGTCACATGGATACCACACATGTGGACACTTACGGTCACACAGCACCAACAGCAGCTGCAGCCGGCGTGGACACGGAAAGGCAGAGTGATGTGGTGCACGGTTCTCAACCTTGGCTCCCATTAGACTCACATGGGGAGCTTTACAAAACTCCCAGTGCCCGGGCCACACCCCCCAACCACTAATCAGAACTGGGGCTAAGTCCCTGGCATCGGAATTTTATAAACTCCCCCAGGTGATTCTGGACAAAGTTGAGAAACAATGGTATAGTAGAAATTAGGATGAGAAGGAAGAGGAAGGAATGTGACATGTGTGAGGCCAGAGGGATGGCTTTGTATCTCTGGTCTCAGTTCTCTCCCTTATGTGGCCGGCAGGAAAATGAGTGGAGAAGCCAAGAATATTGAGAAAGCCAGATGTCTGAAACAGTCCTTCTCCTCTCAGCCCAGCGGACGCCTAACCCTTCTTTATGACTTGAGCCATGATTCATCCCTCCAGGAAGCCTGCCCTGACTTCCCCACCCACAGCTGGGTTCGGTGGCCTTCCTCTGTGGCATCCTATCTTTCCCTCGAGCACCATACAGATCAAAGTGCAGGTGTCTGCGCACACACCTCTCTCCCCAAGGAATGGAAGTGCCCTGAGGGCCAGGCCTCTCTCCTGGCATGCAGCCATGCCTGGCACAGAGGAGGCACTCAGTAGCTAGTGGGTGTGTGAAGAAATGAATGAACACAAATGAGTGAATTAACCAATGAACTG